GACCGCCTCGTCGTCGTTGGGATGCAACCATCCTGCTGAGCGAGTAGAGACAGGTTAGAGTCCAACCGGTAGTCAGGGGCATAGAGAGACAGAGGCCAACAAAGTCTGTCAGCAGACTGAGAGGCAGACTGACGAGCAGGAGGAGAGGGAAGCCGAAAGCAAAGAGGTGAAGTGAGGCCTGTTGCGGGGGGAAATCGAGATGGAGGAGGGTGAGAAGACCGCCAAGGAAGGTGATCACACCGAGAGCGGCACGCGGGACATCCATGCGTGTCCAGTGGCGGTGAAATACGGAGCGTAGACTGTGTAGCTCAGCGAGACAGGCACTGACGTTGCGGCAGACGTCAGCAGGAGGATGGGAGAGTTTCGCTTCGAGGGCTGATGGTAGGGACATTGAACCGAAGTGCTGTTGATAGGTCTGAGAGTAGAGGGCCATCTGTGGAACAGTAAATTCATAACTCAGTAGGTATGTGTTTTGAAATGCAACTAGTACAGCTTATTTGGGGAGAGTAACAGACAATATCGTTAAGAGCCCCGATGCTTACATTCCGGTGTGCCATATACATCTGTACACGCACTTAAAAATTTCCAACATTAAGGTTGTATCTACAAAATATAAGTAGTGCTCTTTTTACAAATAATGCCTGCCTGGAGTTGATGTGGTACTGCACCTGTTATTCTCATTTGACTTCCAGTGACCTAACAAGGGGTTATGGGATGTTCTCGATTCAATTGTTGAGGGGAGGGGAGTTGAGGGGAGGCAATAAGGCATAGCGAATATCAATGAGAGATAAACCTTCGATTGGCAACAGAACATAAAAACATCAATACATTAATCTTGTACTACCCAGGAGCCGTTTTTTTTTGTGGGCAGTGACACGCATTTCCGTTTAGATCGGCAGTGTGAGAAATTAATTATAAAGGTTTCAAGTTCTTTGGGAATGAAAAAAATCTCATTTTTTAGATTTTCGCGGGTGGGTCCACAGCACTTCGCCATACTCATGATCATTATACAAAAAATCAAATTTTCAATTATATCTAACGAAGGACAGTATAATCTGTTTCACGTGAGCATTTATACACTGGACACGATACGACGATGTGCATGCAAAAACCGCGCCATTGATATTTGGGGAACATAGAAGCGTCGCGAATTCCTGGAGGCAACGCATTGAGACGAAGCATTACTCAAAAGACATATCTATTTAGATACCAAAAACGAAATTATCATAAACTACTGGAAATAAACGTTGCTAATCCCTACAGTCTGATGACGTGAAATGCACGCGTAATTGCGCAAACCCCAAAAGCCATGTCCCGAATAAACCAGTCCAAGTCGTCACCTTAATAATTTGCGGCATTATTGACTTGACAATCACATCTTGATTTTACATAACAGAAAGGCCATACGAAACTCTGCGGAACTCCGTGTAGAAATTAAAATTTTGCGGTTTTTTCAAGCAACAGCATAAACATCACCGAGATACACATTTCGGTTTTCGGCTAATATAATTAGTGGTCGATCTCATGAAAAACTTAACAAAATTCTGAAAAGTGTTTTCGACTACTAAAACAGGACTGCAAGATCGATCCTCGTAGAACACAATCCTACTATATTTCGGATTCAAGCTTTTAAATGCAGTTTTTTTCGAACATCTGCAAAAACCACATTCCAGAAAACTACATATTTAACAAATTTTACAAATGAATTATTCAGATCTGCCAAACCCCTCCTAATAAGTTGCTGTGCCTGGGCAGACATGGCATGGAACAACTGGGCCCGGGGACAAGGCGGGGCGCGACAGGAGGCGACGGAACGAACGCGCATGAGGCCGACACCAACGCACGCGGCACGTTGACAGACAGG